CATATGTAAAGGAATCTTGGATAAGTTTTCAACTCACCTCCCTGGGAAAAAAAAAGCACTTTGGGTTGCCTGGACAGGTTCTGTGTAAAAACCATCAAGGACCCAGGGAAGGAGGGACCATCGCTGAGCATATCCAACTTCTCCTGCTGGTCTGGGTGATCTCAGCCGGCCCCAGGAGGTTCAAACTGAAGATACAGCCAACAAATGGCATTTATTTCTGTGCTGACGGTCTTCCTTAAGAAAACTGCATTTTACTGGGCTCTCTGCTGTTGTGTTGTTTTCGCTATTTTGTTTTGGGGGGTTTTGTTTGTTTTTGTAAACAACAGCACTTCACCTCTGTTCTTAAGGCAAAGAGCGGGGATAACCAAGGTGCAGGCAAATTTCTCTGGCACTTAAGGAAGACGCCCCAAATCCATCCACCTTCTTCTCCCCCAGGGAATTCACTGCGCCTTTGGTTCAGTTTTAGCTGGACCTGGAAACCTGTGAGGTGCCTCAAGTCCGAACGTCTGAGAATTCACGGAAATGTTAATAGATCTAGCTTTGGAGACCAAATAGATTTAAAATGTCCTTTGCCAGCAAGCTGTAGACGACGTTGAAGAGAATTTCGTGATGGAAGCAGTCCTCGTGCGTACTGCTTGTCATACAGGCGTAAAGACCATTCAAAACGCCAGGGAAGACCCTTTTTCAATTGGCAAGTTTACTGTTTCCAAGGGGAGGAGGGCAGGGGAGGAGTAACGACGACCTTTCAGGTGTGTCTTCCAATCGCGATAGCCGGTTTTGGCTGTGAATTGAACCCCCCCCCACCCCCCTGCACTTCCCCCTTCCGTTAATTAAATAAACCTCGGAGCGCTTTTCGGCACACGACTCGGCCCTTGGGGATCTCTTCCAGCGTTGCTCCCATTCTTAAAATCTTCAACTCACAGAGGTTGAAGAGCTGGCGGCATGAATTTCCAGCTCCTAAGGGTGAGAAGAGAGGTGTTGGGTGGAGGGCAGACGGCAGGGAGGAGAGGCATGCGGGAGGATGCCCGCTGGGTGGGGAGGGCGCGCGTGGGGGCGCAGGGTGGCTCCCGGGCGCTGCCCCCTCCTGGCACCGGAAGCCGAGTCCGCGTCGCCAGGCCCCTGGCCCCAGTGGGCCTCCTCGTCGCCTGGAGGCGATCAGAGAAATGCGTTAAGGCCGCCGGGCTTAGTTGGCCTGGAGGTGTATGGTGTTCTCGGACGCCGAGCGAAGGCCTCCGGGGACGCTGGACTGGAGCCTTGGTCCTCCTGCTTGCGCTCGGAGCGGTTAGGCTGCGCACGGGTGGGCCCTGGGATATAGTGGGGAAGTGACAGGCACTCTGCAGCCAAGCGTGGCCTCTGGAGGGCGGCGACCCCCCGGGGCGGCTTGGGGGGGGGGCGGCGAGAGCCCGGCTTGTCTCTAACAGGTCTCCAAGAGAGCCGCTAGGGAGGTGGCCTCGAATAGCAGGCATGTTTGCGGCTTTGAGGTAGTTGGACGACCAAAAATTCACCTTCGCCTGCTGAGAAATGGGGTTGTGGTTGTCAAGTTAGAGACTATACCCACGACCTCTGCGCTGGGCGAGCACTCTTCAAATCAGCGCCCAGACTAGACCTGGGACAGAGATGGGCCCGGGCGCTCCCCGGAGCTTGGGTCCTGCAGGCTCCCTCAGTTCTGCGACTCTCTGTCCATTTGTAAAAAGCAGATTTTTCGAGGAAGGGCTACAGGCCGTGAAGCCCCTCCCTTCAAGCACCCGGCCTGCAGCCGTGCGCTTAGAAGTGAGCAGTAAATGGAGTTGGGCTGGACCCCGGGTTAAGTAAGAAGCCTCTATGCGTGTGCGGCGGGCGCTTTGCACACTATCAAAACAACCTGCTATTTTTGTATTATTGCTGTTATTTTGGAGTGGCTGTGAAATGATGCATGTGGCGCCCCAGGGCGTGCCCCTTTAGTGGGCTTAGACAGTTGGGGGGTACTCTTTGGTGCCAAGTGTGTTGTCCAGTGGGGTGACGGTGCCGCGAACGGAGGTTGTGGAATAGAGGGTAGGATGCGTGAAGGGGCAAGCTCCTCGATTGCTGCAGGCCCCGACTTTTCGGCTCTGCTTAACCCGGCTGGCCACTTAACCGCGGCCTCTGCGGGAGCTCACGCTGCTCCAAGGGGCGGGACAGACACCTTGCGCGCAGCGCGGCGTCCTCGAGGGCGCTCTGGGGCCTCCACCTGCAGCTCAGGCGCCCCCTCCCTGGGGCGGGAAAAGTCTCAGGCCAACCCCAATCCAGCTCTACCTGCCCCGCCGCCTTCCTTGGTTTGCGGGGGTGGGAAGTTGGAGGAGGCTGCAGACTCCCGCCTGCGCCTCTACGCAGACGCCTCCGCTTCTCGCGACTCGGGTTTCTTGGGCCATCAGAGCGTGCTGGGGGCCCGGGTCCGGGCTTCAAGCGTGTGTGAGCGCGGGCTCCCTAGGGGGCGACAGAGGGGAGCAGCTGACAACCCTCTATCCCCATACCCCCGATTTTGCGTGGCGTTCTGCGAGGCTCATCCCCGGGATCCCCTAGTTCTGTTTACAGTTAAGCGGCTGCGAAGCCTCGGAGGGTTCTGAGGGGGCACCCTTCCGGGAGCGGTGGCTGCCCAGGGCCGCCGCCACGCAGGCCCGGGTCTTCCCGCGGCGAGGGGCGGGGGCTTTGGAGGGAGGTCCGTCCTGGGTGCGGGAGCCATTCGCTCCCTGCTTTCCGCAGAGAGAAGTAAAGTAGAGCTCAAGGAAGGGCTGGGGCTTCCAGCACGCTGACGCGGGCGCGCGCGTGCGGGGGTTCCAGCCCCGAGCCGAGGGTGCGCGTGTTTGCGCAGGGTCTCCAGAGCCGGGAAGATTGAGGATTTGTTTGCGCCGCCTTCCATCCCGGGCGCGGAAGCCGCGCTCTGCCTTGAACGCATGCCCCTGGCAGATGTTCGGAAACATCTAGGTCCACGGGGCTCCCCGAACGGAGGCGCGCAGCCCCTCAGGGGCTCTGCCCCAGGGCGGGGAGGAATCTCTGTCCCTACGGGTTGCTTCGGCCACAGCTGCTGCGGGAAGGACAGCCGGGGCCTGGGATGGGGTGGGGTGGGGGGGGTGGCCCGTTTCTGCCCTGCCCAGGTTCCAAACCTGCCTGGGGGAAAAGTTGCCGGCCTGGACGAGACAACTTGTTCAAGTTGCACCCGAGGCGGGGTCTTTGAGTCAAACCTAGGTCTAGAAGGCCCTGCGTGGAGGAGAGCCTCCGCGTCACCGCTCTCGGAGTCTGGAGTGCCCGAAGGAGGCGCGCAGCTTCCCTCTCGGGAGTGCCTGGGACCCCAACCTTCCACGTCCTGCTGTGCCCGTGTCCGATTCCTGCGTGGCACAGGTGCCCCCCGTCCCTACCCCTCCCCCAACCCCCGAATACCAGGAACGCTGCTTTTTCGGTTGTTTTACCCCCAGGCCTCGGTGTTTTGGAAGCGAGGTGTCCGGGGTAGTGTGTGCACTGCCCTTTGTAACTTTTAGTGCAAAGCCCCGAAAAGCCCCCAGTGGTTTCACTTCCAGGTTTTGTTCTCACATTTGGTAGGACTATCACCTCGGATCTGTCTACTCTAAGGCAAGAGAGGACGTTTCACTTGGAGGACGCCCATTTTTATTTCAGTTATTCTATTTTGGGCCCATCTGGCTCTAAAGAAATGCCAAAGCTCAAACAAACCCGAGAAGGAGCAGGAAAGTGGTGTGTGCAAATCATTCTGTAGATGGGGAGTAGTGTCCACTCCAGGCCCGGAGCACTGTACCGATGGGTATTAATTACTGCATAATCGGTTTCGGAATCAGATCGAAATAGTCCCCCTCTCCAATTCTCTCAGAATGTTTAAATTCAGATCCAGGAGTCAGATGGGACGTCCCAGTAAAATTCGCCCTTGAAAATTAGCGACTTTCCCCTTGCAGTGAAAAAGGTCAATTACAGTAATTGGGCCAATGGATTTCGTTTCTTTAAAAATTTTTTAATATTGCGCATTGCATTCAAGTTTGGGTGGCAAATAAATATTGGGGCTAGAGGCCGCGTTTCTGTGTAAGTTTCGTTTTCAGCCTGCGTCCTCAGAACGGGGGTACTCACCCCTCCCGCGAGGTCCCTCTCCGGCCCCTCCCTCTTCTCCCTTCCCCCGCGCGTGGCGCTTGGGTTGTTGTATTCGGCCCCGCACCTCTTTTCCTGGGTGAGTTGAAGCTTCTGAGTGCCTGGCCCGTCGGAGGCAGCTGCCGAGCCGGCGCTGGGCAGGGCTGGGCAGGGCTGGGCAGGGCTGGGTGAGGGCGCGCGGGTGACCCCCAGCCGCAGTCAGCGGCGGAGATGCAGCTTGGGGCGATGGCGGCCAGACGCCGTTGTCCAGACTTCGCGGCTGGTGGAGGCCCGCCCGCTCCGTGGCGCTCCGGGCCGACTTCCCCAGAAGGCCTTCCCTCCTCCAGCCCCTCGGAGGAATGGGCCGGCGCTATGACCACGGAGACGGAGGGAAGGGGAGGCGTCTCTCGGAGGGATTGGGGCTCCGGCTGCAAGATCCCAGCCCAAACCTTAAGTCTCCGTGGGGTGGACATGTTTGGAGATAAGGGGGACCCCAGCTGTTAAGATACCCGAACGCGGGGTCTCTTAAGTCCAGGTGACAACGTCTTCTGGAGGATGGGGGAAGGCGCGTTGGGGAAAAAAGAGGGGGGCTCTTAGGTATTTGGGATCCCGGGCCCCAGCTCTGCCAACCTCAAGGTGTGTGTATGTTGGGGATGACTGATGGAAGGCGCAAGGGGGACCCCGACCTAGCAGGTCGGCGGCTGTCAGAGAGGTGCAGCACACTTGCCTCCTCTCCGCGCCCCCCGCAGCGTGGTTCTAGGCGCGGCGCCCCGCCGGGGTGCAGGGCGGAGCTAGGCTGGGACTGGCTGGGGGCTGCCCCGCCCGGCGACTGGGCCTTGGTGCCGGCCCCCGGGGAGGAGTTATGATAATTTCCTTCTCATTAAGGCGCCCGGGTCCCCCGGCTATTGCCGGGACACACAGTGCGGGCGCGGCTTCTCGGGTCCCCGGCAGCGGCTTGTACACGCGCGGCGGCAGCATCTACGCTCGCAGAGCCGCCGATGCGCGTCCAGTGACCGGGACAGCGAGGCCCTCGCGTGGCGGGGGCGGCGGCAGACGCCTAGCCACCGTGACCCCCATTTTGGATTTACCGCTCGGGGGGTGGGGGGAGCCTGGATTTAACTGGCGCCTGTTTTGGGGGACGCCGGACGCCATGTTGTGGAAAATAACCGATAATGTCAAGTATGAAGAGGACTGCGAGGTGAGCTGGGCGCAGGGGCGCAGTCTGGCCCCGCCCGAGGACAGCCCGGGAGGCGGGGGCCGCTGGACCCAGGTCGGGGCGAGGGCGCGGGAGCAGCGAGCAGGCACCAGCCTCTGCCCCTCGATGGGACGGGGTCCACTTTTCCGGACGCCCCCTAGTCCGTTTCTCCGGGGCTCTCTTCCTGAATCGGGCCTTTTCCTAAACATCCACCCTCGGGAACAGGGCCTGGAAAGAGAATGGCAGATCCCACCCGCAAAGCTTACCGGTCGGTCTCTTGCGAAGCAAAACAGCCCTTCTTCCCTTTTTCTCGGAAGAGCGTCTCGTCTACAACCCTTAGACGTGGCTTTTACGCACCGTATCTCTGTCCAAAGGGGTCAGACGAGGCGACCTGCCGGCGACACCTTTGCAAAGTCTCCTCCGAGGCGGGCTTGTCACCTGCCCCGCTAACTCCTAGGAGAAACAAGAAAACAGAAGTTTGGCTTTTAAGAGAAGTGGGGGCTGGGGAGTGCTGGTGGGGGGGCCCTGAGGCCAGATGGGGCCGTAAGCGCTCGGGAGTGCTCCAGCCAGTCCGACAGGTTGAGCTAGAGTTTCGGAGAGTGGGAGGGAGGGAGGCGGCGAGCGGGAAGAGGAAGACGCGGGCGGCGGGCGGCGGGCGGCGGGCGGTGTGCGCCAGGGCGCTGGCGGAGCGGAGCCGGGCCTGGGGGGCCGCGGGAGGGCTGCGCGCCCGCGGGACCTCAAGAGGCTGCCCCTGTCGGCAGGCCCGGGCACTTCCGCTAGGGGGCGACAGTGCCATGTTTCTCCCGGCTCCCCGCTCTCCCTGTGACCCCTCGAACCCAGGGAGACAAGTCCTTTAAGAATTAAGTAGGATAGCCTTGGGGCGAGGGACGTGCGCAGGCAAGGTTGCCCAATATTCGGGGTCCTTAATTCTCGCCCTGTGCCCCGATTTGTGGGGACACTGACCGTGGCCGGGCAGGGCGGCCTCACTTGCCATTCCGTCTTGGTCGGGACGCTTCTAACAGGCAGGGCAGCCCCCGCTGCGGTGCGTTCCTTCCCGAGCTCCTCGGGCGGCGCTGGGTGGCAGGCCTACTAGGGAGCGTCACTCATCCGGAGGTCTTTGTCCTGAGGGCGTGGAAGGGGAGGTTCCCTGGGGCGGGGAAGATGCGCACTTCCCGCTTTGTGCGCTTTATCCGCGCTTGCAGCTTCCCCCGGTTCTTTGGTCGGGCGCCGCCATGTGCGGGCTAGTAAGCGAGCGTACTGCGCACCGTGCTCGCCGCATGCCGACTTCCTCGCGGTACCCGGATCTCGGCTTCTCCTGGCCGAAGGCCTGGGGTTCGGACTTGGCGCTTCAGAGCGCCTCGGGCGTCGCAGGGCCCAGGCCTTCGCCGCCGGGCTTTGAGGACGCGTTCCTCCAGGTTTTTCGAAGTCTCTCTTTACTCCGTGGACTCGGGTTTTGCAACGAATCCCCCGGGGCACTTTGCTTCCGGGTGCCCTCCGGGTGGAGGGCAGGCCCCGCGGGTTGGGTACGGGCTGGTGCGGTGGGTCCCCTGGGGCCTCGCCCCTCAGCATAGCGGCAGCGGCCAGTTCGCAGTAGCGGGGTTTCGTACTAGCGGGGTCTCTACTTCTCTCTCCCAGGATCGCCACGATGCGAGCAGCAATGGGAACCCGCGCCTCCCCCACCTCTCCTCCGCCGGGCAGCACCTCTACAGCCCCGCGCCGCCCCTCTCCCATACTGGAGTCGCCGAATACCAGCCACCACCCTACTTTCCACCGCCCTACCAGCAGCTGGCCTACTCGCAGTCGGCCGACCCCTACTCGCATCTGGGAGAAGCTTACGCCGCTGCCATCAACCCCCTGCACCAGCCAGCGCCCACCGGCAGCCAGCAGCAGGCCTGGCCGGGCCGCCAGAGCCAGGAGGGAGCTGGCCTGCCCTCGCACCATGGGCGCCCGGCCGGCCTGCTACCCCACCTCTCCGGGCTGGAGGGTGGTGCCATGAGCGCCCGCAGGGATGCCTACCGCCGCACGGACCTGCTCTTGCCCCACGCGCACGCCCTGGATGCCGCGGGCCTGGCTGAGAACCTGGGGCTCCACGACATGGCCCACCAGATAGAGGAGGTGCAGGTGAGAGGCGCCTCGGCTCTTGCCCCTCCTGCCCGGACCTGTTCACCCCCCAGCTTCTCCTACCCGCCCCCCCCCACGCTCCCCCGAACTTAAGGGAAACTTTGTCGTTTCTTCCCCAGAATGTTGACGACCAGCACCTGCTTCTGCACGATCAGACTGTTATTCGCAAAGGTAGGTAGTGAGAGCAAACTTCTCTCCTCCCCCGACAGTGCATGACCTGGCAAGGTGGGGGCATTTGGTGGCCGGCTTGGGACATTTGTGCTGGGGGAGGGACTGACCAGGGCTGGGGGAAGGTAGGTTTTTTTGGAGTAAGAAGAGATCTCTTTCCGAACTAAATGAGAAAGGTTGGTAGTAAAACTCTTAGGAGCTGCCTCGATTAAGAGATTAATCAGGATTTGTTACTCCATAGCGTTCTCCAGGGGAATATGATCCCTTGAATTGGATGGTGTTTTTACAGTGTGTCTTCCAGAGTGAGTTAACACTGTGATTTAATTTGGAAGAAAACACACCACACACCTTAATTTGGGTGGTCGATTCTGTGACAATTGTTGAATGAGTGGATGTGATTTCTCTTTTCCATTTCAAATGTGCATCTGCTGAGGATGATGAATTCTAATCCTGACCTGCAAGAAAAGGTTTTGAAACAGTTCGGCCTACCAAATACACAGCTTTAAAAGGCCCAGGGTGGGATGATGTGCCGGAGCTCGGGTTTATGGAGGGTAGTGGGGGAGGGGACTGGAAAATTGGATCACTCTGGGAGTGTCTTCGTGAAATTTAAGTCGGTGTACTGACAGGATTACCAGTCCGGCTGTTTTGGAGATGGAGTAGTCCTCCTAGGTAAAGGGTAGTTACTGTCAGCTACTGGAAGTTAAACTGCTCGAAATCAATTGGGAAATGGTTTTTGAAGAAAAACTCAGAAAATAAACTGGATTTCCCAGGAAACTTGTAACAGAACGGGTTTGTTTGTATTTTTAAATTTACCGTGATCAGTTACACTGAAAATTTTCAGCAAAGGATCTGAATGTGTCCGGTGATTTTGGTTGTTTGTCGAATGAGGAAGAAAAAAAAGGAATTGCCATTTATTTAGGATTGAAGCAGTCTTTTGAAAACAAATGTTCTAATTAAACAGATTTTAACAGTGGCTCGAAAATGAAAACCCTCCATGCTTGGGGTCGTGACTAATTAGCTTTGTTAAGGTGTTAACTTGTGAATTTCAGATTCGATTATCTTTGAAGAATATGACTTAAAAAAAAAATCTGCTTGCAATTTACATAGTCTTAACATACAGCGTTGTTTGCTTACAGAGCTCTTTTGGCTTTGGTGAGTGGTTTGAAAAGGTCCCTTTTTCCTAAGTGCAGCTCTTGGGACTGTCACTTGTGATCTTCATTCACAGGTCCTATTTCAATGACCAAGAACCCCCTGAGTCTCCCTTGTCAGAAGGAGCTGGTGGGGGCTGTGATGAATCCCAGCGAGGTGTTCTGCTCGGTCCCTGGAAGATTGTCCCTCCTCAGCTCCACCTCTAAATACAAAGTGACAGTTGCTGAAGTCCAGAGGCGATTGTCCCCGCCTGAATGCTTAAATGCCTCATTACTGGGAGGTGTTCTCAGAAGGTACATGGGGACACACGGCCAGGGTGGTTGGTGGTTGGGTGGTTGGAAGGTGAATAATAAAAAAACCAAGGAGGTATTTTTAACATTTATGTAACTTTTATACTTAACACTGAATTCTAATCGGCTTAGAGTTTTAGTACATTCCTTTTCTTTTAGAAAGTGCCAGATGTAGAAGGAAGTGCTAAAACAGTGCTCACAAATTATCATTTGGTTAGGATTTAATTCCATGTATGAAGTGGTGGCATCCTGATGGGGGGAGATGCTCCATGGGTTTTGTTGCCCCAGGGGGCTTGGGGGGCTGCTAAAGTTTTTATACATGTAAATTTATCCACTCCTGCACAATTTGCAATGTTCTGTGATTGGAAAAAAAATGTTGGTGATGGTAAGAAAGAGCATTAATTACAGGGGACTCCCTGTATCACTTGATTATGATCCACATAATGTAGATACTCTGACAGATTTCCGTTTTGATTGCAGCAGGGTAGGAATTTAGAATTTTAAAAAGTGTGGTGTCTTGAGAATAGCTACAGTTCACTTTCTTGTACCCAGAGCCAAATCTAAAAATGGAGGCCGGTCCTTGCGGGAGAAGTTGGACAAGATCGGGTTGAATCTGCCAGCCGGGAGACGGAAAGCTGCACACGTCACTCTCCTGACGTCCTTAGTAGAAGGTCAGTGGAGTTTTGTTTCTGTTTTATGGTGTTTTTAGTTTGCGCTGTGTCGTCTGTGTCTTTAATCCCTGAAGGAAAGCCTAAAAACGGCTCTGTCACAGAGATGAAGATGAGTTGTCATGAGTTCATTGCAGTGAATCACAGTAATTTTATCAAATGCGTTAACACTTAAATCCCTGACTGCTTAAGGATCCTGTTTTGGGTTCTCCAGAAAATCAATTGGTTTCCCTGACCCAAGAACTCTCACCGTTAGGGTGTTGGGACATTTCCTCCGAATGAACCAGGTTTTGGAAGATGGCATCGATCACCTGGCACACTTTTTAAAAAGCTGGTTGTGGTATTGGTGGGAAGAAGCACCGATTCCAGCTTGGGTAGCTGTGGAATATCAGGATTGTGGTCATTGAAGAGAAAAGCCCTTGTAGATGGTGGGATTAACCCAATTCACAAGCCCTTTGTTCATTTCCCGCATGAAGAAAAAAATTAGTGGGGCCCCTCTCCCCAGTCCTAAAATCGTAGGATGTAACATTTTAGTGTATTGAATGGGTCTGTACCCCCAATCTGGAAGGGAGCCAAGAATGCAATTACAGCCTTTAAAAATAAGTGGGGGCTGGGCGGGGGGGGCCAGTTAAGGGAAAAGTGAAATAATTTTTTTTCAAAAACCAGCTCATTGTTGCTGTGTACGGGGGGGGGGGGAATGGAGTGGAGCGCAGAGGGGCTGATCCTGAAGGCCAGAGCAGCCCCCTCGCCCAATCAGCAGGGCGCTGGGCTCCGCTCAGGGCTGGGGGGAGCCAATGAGGGGTGGTCCCCTGGTGGCCAGGCAGTCCTTTGAACACTTTCTGTCCCCGGTCTAATGGCGCTCCTGCGCGCTGAAAGGGACTTGGCAGAGCCCGGCTCTACCTTTTTACGAGTGTCTTTGGAGGTCAGGGCAAGGAGAAAGGAGCTGCCTGTTAGTTAGCTGCCTGTTGGAGCACAGCTGTCCTGCGTGGAGAATGGTGGGTTCTGCGTGCGGGGCGCATAAATGTGGCTCCTCGAGGTTTTCTTGCTAGCCAGGCTGAGGTGTTTGAACAAGAAAGTGTGTGCCAGAACAATGGTTTTCAGATTCTGATTTAGTAACTCTGGGGAGGCGAGTGGAGGAGACGGGGTGGGGGTGGGGTGTCACTCTCTGGGTTTCTGGAAAGCTCTGGCCAGCCTTGGCACCTTGGAGCCAGGCCCGGGTATCTCCGGTCAGAGATGAGTTCTCTTGGTTTTCTCTCCCTCCGGTCCCCGAGTGATTTGGACAAAAGAGGGTGGGTAGTCCAGGTTGGTAGTTGGGCTCTTCACATTAACATTTCCAGTGGAAACACAGCCCTGCCTTTCTTTGTGAAAAGAAACATCCCCGAGCCCTGCCTCCTTCCGTAATGGGGCACCCCTGGTTTAAAAAGAAGGTTCCCCGTCAAACACTCGGTCACGGTTTCATAAAGAGAAGTGACCAGTTGACTTTTGTGCAACGTGCTCATCTTTAAATTTCCCTACTTCTCCACAGTGGTAACTTTTTTTATCGAGAGAAAGCATGGGTGTGTCTCAGAATCTTAAGTCGGGGTCCAAGACGGGTTCGCGTTATTCCAGGGCAGTGAAGAATGTCAGTCATTTTTTCCACACGCCGTGTGTTTTCCTGCTCTGTTCCCAGGGGAGCGAGGCCACCGAAAGTACCCAGGAAGTGCCACTTGCCCGCTGAATTGTCTTCCTTGTGGGTGATTTCATTTTAAAGTGCCAAGTGACTGGTGGACCCTCCGGGTTAGAAAAAGAGGAGAGGGAGGTTTGCCGGGGGTGACTGCGGGCCTTCTAAATCTCTTGTCACTGCTGATTATTTTAGGTGAGGCTGTTCATTTGGCTCGGGACTTTGCCTATGTCTGTGAAGCAGAATTTCCTAGTAAACCGGTGGCGGAATATCTAACGAGACCTCATCTTGGAGGGCGGAATGAGATGACAGCTAGGAAGAACATGCTGCTGGCTGCCCAGTGAGTATCCAGACTTGAATTTGGTGGCTGGGTGTTACTGATCTTGAACTTGGGGGGCAGAGGGGTGCCCAGTAACAGTCCCTGGTGCTCAAGAAAGAAAGGCTCGGTAAACAAAGGTATGGAGCAAAAGGAACTGGCCAGGGGGCTTTCTTTGACAAGGCAGATAGATGGATTCTTGGGTAGGACTTAGAAGAAGTAAAATGAATGTATTGCTCAGTAGTGAGTGTTTTTTGGAGCTGCTCAGTTAGGCAGCTCAGAACAGTTCAACTACCCTTTCATTATTGTGTCTCCATATCTTAGAAAAATGTGTTGGAAACACTTTGGTCACATCCAGTCAAGATTGTGGGTGCCTTCTGCCTCCTGAAAAAGACACTTTTGGTTTTTTAAATGTAACGATTGGGTTGGATTTATAGGAGACACGTGGGCAAGCTAAGTGTCTTGAGCCCTACTTAATGCAGCTGCAGGATTTCTCTGGAAGCCAACAGTAAATTAGTTCAAAATTATGGTAAATGAGGCAGAAGTCGTCCAGTCGGGAAATGGGACAAAAGGAAGCAGTGTGACCTAGCCTGTATAAACAGTGAGTTTTGGTGGAGATGTGGATTCTTGGGGTTCTTGAAGAAGAGATTGGTGTCTGGGTACCGAGCTGTACTGAATAAATGGCTCTCCATTGTTAAGTACCCTCCTGGGCTGGAATCCTGACCCCACCTCTTGCACCAGTCCTGGTGACCTTGGCCCTTTGACTGGGGTTAATCCCGTTACGGGGATTAAAGAAGGGAGTGCTTGCAAAGAGTTGAGCTCAGGGCCTGGCGTGCATAATAGGTGCTAAGTGTGAAGGAGTTGACTGTTAGTAGCAAAGTCTATTTCTTTTTGAAAGCTCTGGTGGCCTCCTGGGTGTCCTCCTTGGGGTGATTTGGCTTTGTCCTCTTGCCCTGTCATGAGCTAGATGGAGCTCACAGGTGTGTGTTGACTGTCCTCCCAGGCAGGTGTGTAAAGAATTCACAGACCTCCTCAATCAAGACCGAACCCCCAACGGCAACAACCGGCCCACCCCGGTCTTGGAGACGAACATACAGAACTGCTTGTCTCATTTCAGCCTGATCACCCACGGGTTCGGCAGCCAGGCCATCTGTGCGGCTGTGTCGGCCGTGCAGAACTACATCAAAGAGGCCCTGATAGTCATAGACAAATCCTATATGAACCCCGGAGACCAGAGTCCAGCCGATTCTAGCAAAACCCTGGAGAAAATGGAGAAACACAGAAAATGAAGGATGGGCGTGAGCCAAGGGCTGAAGAGTCTGAAAGGAAAAGGACTCCACGATCATTCTCAACCTGGACAGACTGGGAGACCCCTCTTGCCGGGGGACAGTTTTTGACCCACCTTCCCATGAAAAAGGCCTCCACTCATTTTCTGGATCTTGACGTGCCCTCCTGGATTCCTTAGTGTTCTTTTCTCTAGCGCTGAAGTGTGTCTCCTTAACTCTGGACAAGGGATCGGAAGGTGACAAGTGCTGGTTCTTTGTTCATTAAGCTCATTTTATTCTTTTGAACCCCATTCTTTTCTCTGAAAGTGGTGCTACAAGTTTTAGAACCTTTTAAATAAATTCCCGGGGCTCACGAGAAAACCCACACCGGTAGCTGTTGAAATGTCAGATTGGTGCGATTCAGATCGACAGTAACTTGCAGTGTTAAGGTAATGGTTGGCTTTTTGTGTCCACTCAATATTTATCTAAAAGTATTTATCTGGCTTCTTCAGATATCAAATCCTACAGACCGTAGGAAGCAAAGATTCTCTCTGCTTAGCCGCTAGTTTAATAGGTGGTATTTGACACTCTTGAACCCCTCGTTGAAAGGGGGCCTTTGGGTTTTACGAAACTTGTAGAAATGAAGCCTGCTGATGATCTTGTGTTTTCTTTTTGTCTTTTTTTTTCTTTTTTTTAATTCGGAGAGTTAACTCTTCAAATGAGAGACTCTGAAATGTCATGTTCCTTTAAGGTACTGAAGCTTTATTTGCATATTTATTTCACATCTTGGTGTTTCGAGTAAACTTGAAAGGGGTAGGCATGAAGCGGTTTTTTTTTTTTGTTTCTTTGTTTTTGTTTCTGCTGCCCGCCCCAAGTCCCGTAGGAGGCTCTGTATGTTGAGAAACAGTGCGTTGAGTGTACAGATTTTTATTTATGCATAATTTAATGGGGTCTGTAAATACGGGTGCACTTCTTAAGACTTTTGACAAATGGGATTCGATTTTTAATATTAACTTCTAAAGGTGATGGGGTAATCTTAAACTCTTCTTAGGTTTTATTCATATGTACGCAGGGTATTAAGAGTTAAGAGGATCCTGGGCTCTGTTCTTGATGCGGAAGATTCTATTTAATTGAAACTCTGTTCACAAAGCAGTAACTTTGTGTCTCAGTCCCATCATGGTGGACCGGAAGATGGGTGTGTGGTACCGTGCGTGGGGGTGAAATGGAGGTTTTTGGAAATGGCTGTAAACATTCCGCGAGTAATTGTTGTGTATAACAATACCTGTATAATAAAAAGTATTCTCCATAGAAGCTGTGAATGTCGGGTTACAACTTGGTTTTTTCTGAGTCTCTGGGATGAGTGGGGTAGTGGCTGAGCTTAATTTATGGTTTGGCTGTGGCTTTGTTAATGGGACTGAGCAGGAAGGTTGTGCGCCAAGGGAAGTCTGAAGTTTCATTTTCTGTCCCATCTAGGCTGCAGGAGGGCCTTGCTCTCCGCGGCGGCCCTCCGCTGTGTGTAGTACCCCTCTCCCGCCGCTAGGGCTGTCTGGAAGCGTGCGGGACCCTTTCTTCTGAAGGGAGAGAGTCTGCAGTGTTGGAATAACGTCTCTTGCCTAAAGCTTAACTACCTTTTGAGAAACAGCTAGGGTCAGGTAGGGTCAGGTTGCCGCCTCCAAATTTTGAGAATGGAAACGAAATGACTGTAGGTAATCCTTGGGCAGATATTCCTCAGCAGGATTTTTGCATTCAACCAAGTGCTGACAGCGGGAAGTGTAGGCTTTTGTTGGTGTTTTCAATTCAGTGAAATTCTCCCATCTTTGGACACACGGCAGTGTGCATCTGTCCAAGGCACCCTAACCATTTCGCTTGCCTGGTAAGCGGGCCGTTGGGTCTCTGCGGGCTGCTTGGGGAGCAGAAGAGTCTGGTAGAGATTGTGGACTTGCTGGATGTTTGTGAGGATCTCGAATGTACTCCCCGGGTCCTTGATTCCAAGTTGAAGTGTCCTGGCGTACCCTCCAGGAAGTGATATGTTTATAGTTTGGCACGAGAGGCAGGGCTTCAAAGGGAAGTGGGAGCAAAAGGATTTTCCACATTGGATAAGGCCATTTCTTCAACTCCAGCCTCATAATCCTTGATTTATAACTCTACCAAAAACTCAGCAATTCCTGACTTTGTGTTGGCATTGGATGTGAAGTAATTTAAACTCTGCCAACCTAATACTTTGCTCTTGGCAGCTTGTCCTTGGCCACTGAATGTTCCTATTAAGTTGGATTTATCTGGTTGGTATGTCAAGTTCACAATTGCTTTGCTTTAGAGGAGTGAAGAGAGGTCTTAGGTTGGCGGTTATTTCTCAATCAAGACGTGAGACATTGGGTGTTTAAAGGAAGTTATGGGGGAAAGGGCTGAAGGAAAAAGGACTGTTTTCTTATCAGCATCTTAACCTGCTTTGGGGCCAGAGTCTGGCTTTTAGGAGCTGTGCCCAATTGCAACGCAGACAATGTTCTGGAAATGCCCCAAAGTCAACCAAGGATTGCAGTGAGTCATAAGCAGGGCTTGTGCCTGGCTCACTGCTCAATTGTCCTTTATCCTTGTTCCCACTGAAGCCCACGGATGGCTGATGGGTCCCCTGGGTCCAGGGCACAATAATAGGTTTTTCTTCCCAACACCTCTGAGCTGATAGGCGAAACAGCCAAGTCCCCTCAACAGGTCTCTACAAAAACTGTGGTTGCCTCGGCTTTTCCCTCAAGCCCCTGTTTGTGGGAGAAGGGTCCCCTGCTGTTGCTTCTCATGGGCCGGTGTGGTTTTATTTCCAGCCCCACGATGGTGAGGATCACACTTCTTTTCCCTTCACCCTATAGTTGGCCCACTGGCTGACAAATTGAGCTCGCTTTTATGAAGGCACATGATGCTGTGAAGTCTGCCCTCTGGGAGAAGAAATGAAGATGCTGCTTTTTTTTTTCCTGGTTGCCCTGCAGGAAAAGCCGTCATTGTCCGAAGGCACGCTCTTGCCTAGCGCTCCACGCATGAGAGATTCCTCATAGCAGAGACTCCTCGGCAGGGCTGTGCGTCTGTTGACAAGACCTGCCCGCCCATCCAGGTACTTGGCACTTTGATGCCCTCCTGCCTTGCGGACAGCACGTTTAGAAGTTCTGTGGAAGGTCAGGAGTGGGTGTTTTCAATAGCAGTTCACGGTTGTCTTCTCTTTCATGTGCCCACGGTTTCAGTTGCAGGTTAGCAAAGGGACGGATTAGTCTGTTTCTCATTTGAAATGATTCCATAATGATGGCCATCAGTATTTTCTTCTTGGGGGGCCTAGCGGTCTGGTGAATTCTGAGACCTTAAGTTCCTGTATTTGAATGTTAAAAACAAAACAAGATAGGGTCATGGATGGGTGAGAGACAGAAACTCAAGGCTTGGCAGCAGTGGGGCGTCTGGGGCCCGTTGCCTGGTTTCCTGGGGGGAAATGTCAGTTACCAACTGTTGTGAATTCCCGTCGAGGTTCTGTGACTTCCGAGGACTTGTGAACATCTCTCCAGTCTTTTCCTCTTGCGGGGGGGCAGCGTGGGGTGGCGACGGGGGCAGCTGAATTTGCCTTCCTTCACAAGCAGGCGGAGAACATGGGAAGTAGAGCTACCTTTGGTCACGAGAGGAAGGGAGAACAGTCTAGGGTTCCTTTAAGTGTGTTTTCCAGGTGAGGGAGCTCTCTGTTTTCCCTGGCGTGGCCGTGATTCTTAGCAACCGTCTCCTCTAGCCACCTAAGCTCAGTGGGTGGTGAGGGTTTTCTCTTCTTTGGGAGATAAAGTTTACTCTTGAAATTGCGATGCCACAACGCACAGGTGTATTCTTCCCAGGGTTAGCTGTTGCCCCTTGATGTGATAACTACTGAAGATCCTGGTTACCCTGGATTTCTCTTCCAGTCGATAGTCTTCGTCTGCTTTTCTGAAATCCACAGGCCACCATGTAGGGGGAGGCTTGGTGACACTTCAAGCCATCGAGATCTGGCCCCCTCCCGGTTCGGCCAACCCAGGCTGGCACCATGCCCAGGGCCCACTGGTGCAAGGCGTGCCACACTTTGAAAGCCTTTGTCTGTTAGGAACACGGAGCATCATCTTCTGAGAAACAAACTTGACCTCCTGATTTTTTAAAAATCACTATTGCATTGGAGCTGATCGTTTCATGGAATGCTCAGTTATTTTTGGCACTGTCATAAACACTGTAATTTCCCTGCCTCTTTGGGATAACATCTTGATGGGGAAGATGGGTGGAAGAAAAGCATGGAAATTAGAGTCGAAAGGCATAATTCCAGGGACCTGTTCAAGGAACCGCTTGGTGGAGAGTGTTTTCCAAGGTCAAATCAGTGCTTTTTTTTACCCCCCTTGCATGACGCATGGTGCGTTCCTTGTTGTTTCTCAACATTTTCCAAGGAAGGATCCTGGTCTTGAGGAGTGACCCTCCCAGGTGGGTGTCAGAGTTGGATGGATGGAAGGCATCCAGCCTCCCGGCACTTGCTGAGACCGGAAGGCTTTGAGGACTTCATGGGTGTTCTGGGTGGAAACCATGCTTCCCCAATAGGTATGTCCACGTCTTCACCCTCGTACTTCGGAGTGTGACCTTATTTGGACATAGAGTTATTGTTGGTGATTGAGTTAAGATGAGGTCCTGGCGGAGTGCAATGGGCCTGAAGCCGGTATGGCTTGTGTCCTCCTAAGAGGAGGCAGACAAAGACCCATGAAGGCGAGTGCCGTGTGCCGATGGGGCGGGGGAGACCGCACAGATGTGGCTACCAGCCAGGGAGCGCATGGACCAGCCGTCACCAGCAGCCAGGAGAGGCAAAGAAAGGTACTCTCCCCTACAGATTGCAGACGGAGTGCGGCCCCGCCAACAATCTTGATTTTGGACTTCTTGCCTCCAGAACCGTGAGATGACACATTGTCCGGCTGGTGGCCCGAGGAAACGGACACAGCAGGGAAGGACTCCTTCTTCTTCCCTTGTTCTCCCCCGTTGATCTTTCTCTGGGTTCCTTTCTACATGTGGGGTGTCGTCTGCCCACGTCCGAGCCGGCCACCTCTGTGGTCTCCCCACCGGGCCAGGAACGGGTGGAGGCTTTTCATAGTCCGTGGCTCCCCCCACCTGTTGCTGCTCAGCAGCCGTGTTGCCGGAAGGAGCTGCTTGCTGGTGTCACCTGTGCTTCTCCGGGGGAAGTCACCCCAGCATCTCTGTCCAGAGCAAATCCTAAACTCCCTCCTGGAGGCCCATTTCACTCTTCCTTTGTGCTTGTTGCATTTGACTGGATACCTCTGGGTATTCCCAGCACTGCCCCAGAATAGCGGCTGTTAAACCCGGCAGGTCACCGGAGGTACTGCAAGGATCCTAATGCCCTTCTGCTGCTTCTGACCCACTGAATCAGAAACTGGGTCAAGAACCTGCATTTTTCTTTTTTTATTTGAGAGA